TGCCCTTTCTGCCCTTTCTGCCCTTTCTGCTTTCTATGATGGGATTGTCGATGAAGCAAGGTTGCGTTTGATACTACAACCGACTACTCCACTTATTAATCGTTTATGAGTAGGTTCTTCAGGCTACCAGTAGATGAAGTAATGTAAACGAAATAGAAGTAAATTAGTCAATTATAATAGCAAAAAAAACTTTACTTCATCTACAAAGATCTGGCTTTCCTTAAAATTTACGTCTGCCCTGCGGCCCAAATGGCACTCGTGGCAGTGTGGTGTAGTGCTTAACGGGCCAAAGCCATACGCTGCACTATCATAACCTGGGTTCGAGTCCCGTTGGTGGGGCTGATGAAACCTAAGCAAGGCCAAAACTGCAGTCCACTCCAGCCGGGATGTGAATACCCCTTGGAAAATAGGGCTATGTGAAATTCACTGGAAGCCTGAGACCTATTCATATGATTGTGGGACAATTCAGCTGCCAGTCATTCACCACCTTAAACGAAATTTGGAAAATACTTCTCATATACCTGATATTATGGTAGTCTCAAAAACCTAAGTATAAACGAAAATAGAAACGCTTGCATTTACTTGCATGTGCCTACTTGTATGAGTTCATGTGTGCGTGAGGGCACAAAATATGCATTGATGGCTCAACTCACATCTTTGAAGAGGATTTCTGTATTGACATAAAAACATTTGTAACTGAACTCGACGGGCTGTTAAACTCTTGTTGGTATTCAGTGCATTAACCTAAGAGGCGTATGGGACCCTTGTGGAGACTCGAATGAGGGTGCTATGAGGGATAGTTTTGACGGTTGCGGCCGTTTTGGGAAGTCAGTGACCCAATCCCACCTACTGATTTCACTAAAGCTGCGAAAATCAGGGATAAAGTAGAGGCTGAATGCCCTTTTCTCATGGTTCTCTGCTGAAAATGAAGACGTGAAGAGGAGACATTGACGGTTTGCTGTTGCCAAATCGGACACATGAGCATTCTGAGCTCGAGTCCAGCAAGGAGTGCTTTCAAGGTTCTGATGGCAACCGGGCGATTTGAAGAGGCAGCATACTTCATTCCGAGCAGAGGGATAGGCTAATTTTTGGCTTTTTACATCGAGAATAGTCTGGATTTTGTGCTCTTCAGTTCATAACTCTTTTTTTCAAGAAGAGATAACATGTAGGCAAGCTCTTTCCCGAAGGAGTGAGGCGTTAGCAGGAAACTTGGCGTCGAGACAGTGCGAAAATGCGAAACATTTGTCGTCTACCGGCAGAAGC